TAACTATATTGTACGTTCGTGGTAATATAATACAAAGTCCTGGGCGTTTTCAAGTTGAACATACGGGTTAATTAAGGGTGTGGCTTTCGAGAAAAAAAAACAACTCGAGTGCCGCATAGTTATTAAATAGGCCATTTGCTCGTTTTAGCAAAATTACAATTTTTTTAAACGACATCACGGATCCGCGACCGGCATCCGTCGTCGACAAATCTTGATCCTCGGAATATAATTAAGTCCCATTTAAACATATTATTAATAACTACCAAAGGAACTCAATCGATGAGTACTTGGTATAGGCGCTATCATTATCATGGCGATTTACAGGTGTAGATATCGTTGTAGATCTGTACGGTGTATTTTTTTTTCTTGTACATTTTATACACACCTATAAATGTGTATATTTTTTTTTTTTAAGTACGTCGCGTGTGGGTAATTTACGACGCCTAACGCGGAAGGACGGTATTTTCCAAAGTATGTAGAACGTACACAAACATATATATTTATTTTTCTTTATATATATATATATATGTATTATTGATGGGCGAAAAAGTACAGCGGCCGTTGATGTGAAATTGATATCGAACCGGCAACGCGATAATACTGCGAACTCTCGACGCACATAAATTATCGCAAAGGGCGTCACATTAAAATACTGTAATGCGTGTACGTTTGCCGAAACGGTTAAATCCCGTCGAGCCGTGTCTGCAAACTTGTCTCCTAGTCCTAACCGGCTCAGGGTGAATCATTAATAACGGCAAATGGATATCCACACTATGCACGCGCTCGGCAAATGAGTCGGATATGTCTGCTTTTTTTCTCCAATGGATACGCGCATACTTTTTTTTTCGAGAGAGAGAGATTTGTCCATTTTGCTAAGTGGAATTTCACGTCTCTCGCGGCCATCTCCATCGTTCTACGGCCAACTCTCGATAAACCATTCAACAGCAGCTGGCACTGGCACAGAAAATACCAACTAACCCACTCGAAATTAAAAAAAAAATTCCTTTGTTTGTTAAGGATATTGTTTATTATCACTACTACTAGGAAGATATCGTGATGTATACCTTTGGGCCGGCGTACATAAGAACGTTTCAATATGTTTTGACAATCTCCTTAAGCCGATCAGCCCATCCTAGCATCAATTAAAACAAAATCACGAGTACACGTCATAATCGGTAGTATTGTCGGGTTATCCGGGTTATAACCGATTAAATTTAATAAAACAGATTTCCAACTTGTTATTTCAACAATAAAACAATTGCTGAGGCTCTTGGCTTATTGTTGATATATTAGTAGCCAGTAGTACTGGAACTAAATGGTCACCACCATAGCCCGTCGTCGAATTAAAAATATGTAAAAATAGTAATTACTTAAATTTGTGTAATCAATTTGTAAGAAGACAACGGTCTAAAGCCAGAAAACCTCCTTGGAAACGTTTTAGATGTACACTAAATATATTTAAATCTCTTTAAGAAACTAATATGTATAGTCAAATCTGGCAAATTTACTTGACCCACTTGGCTTTTAAGCTGCGGTTATTACGGTTGTATCATTAAAACAATTGTAACTTTTGAATAAGAAAATAAATTGACAAGAAACTGATTAACATAATTTGAACAGTTATGTAATTATAAGTAATTTATACTTCTACCTCATTCTTTGAGAGGTCTCGGAAGTTAATCAGATGGAAACGAAATTGAGCGTCCCGGTGGACAAGCTTGAATACATCTGTATCATACTTGAGTAATTTTTGTCGAATAGGCATTAAAGTTTTTGTATGTTTTGTATTAATTAAGAGTTCACGGACTAAAGTTAATTTTAACTAGAGCTCTTCTTTCATGTTTCCGCGAAAGTAAGATGTACACGAATTGCGTAAATACCAAAGTTGCACTCATTAAAGTTAATATAAAAAAATTAATTTTAGTAAATATTTTTTTCTAAAAATTATTTTCATGTTGTTAATTATATTTCAATTTTGTGCTTCAAATTATCCGTGCATATTTTTGTAGCATAAATTATACCGAAACGGTTTTCGCATCTCCCAAAATAACAATTCTGGATTCGCACTTGGTCTGCGGGGACCAGTTTTTTAATGAACCCCAACAAAAAATATATATATATATATATTAGAGCTCTGACAATACTCCATAATTGAATTGAATTTTTATTATGAGATCATATTTTTGCAACTTTGAACACCACTCACAAAACCCGGTTGCTCGTTTTATGGAATATTGGGGAAAAAAACCAACTACGATGGGACCGCTGACGCAAAAAAGCAAAAAGAAATTAAACAAATATAATATTTAAAATATATATGAGTATATAATGAATACAAAATAAGTAATATTAAGAATTGAAGATATCCAAATAAAAATAATTAACCAGGTATCTATCTATATTTGTATAGGTAGATAACATCATGTGTCCCAATTCATTAGACGTTATTCAGAGGTGAGCAATGGAATTCACTAGATTTGAATTATACAATCATAAATAATTCAGCAAATGCATAGCTAATTGACAAATATAATCACCACATGTACACTCTCATAACTAATGTCATTTGATTTCTTGTTAGTACTCATCATTGATGTACTTAAACGTAACCAAAGGTCTGCAAGTATTTTCTAGTATTTGTCCCTTGTAAGTGTGCGATAAATTTATATATATGTATATATATAACACAAATATCGATAAAAGCCAAGTACAACCTAATGAAATTATTATGTGCTTAAAAATTAAATTTTATTATTAGGGTGGAAACGATATGGATTAATCGTCTGTCTATAAAAATGTACTGCAATAGTTACTCAAATATCGTAGTTAACAATATAATAAAAATATTTTCATTACCTATTGACTGTTAATTCACTCACACATAGCAACCTGGAAATTTACTATGGTCAAAGTGTAATTTTTCCTTTTTCATTTGGTTTTTCTTAAAAAAAAAAAAAATGTATGAGATAATTGTACATGTTAAAGTTCTAGATCTACCTCAGGTCTAATTTTCAGACTTAAATCCTTAAATCTTCGCTTGAAAAAGTGAAATAAAAAAAAATTCTATTACTTCTAGGAGAAAGGGCTTATGATATTTTTTTTTGGTCTCAGCTCCGCATTGAAGCTAAAAAACGAATGCAATTTCCGTTTATTAACATTTAACACTGCCACGCTATTTTCGACCCTATTAAAGTTAATCTCAACCGATTGGTGTCATGTTGACATTGCGGACGCACTTAGCTCCAAAGGAACCGTTGCACATTCCATTTGGAGATTAACATCGTACTTTGTATTTATTCATTTTTTTAATACACAGTTATGTGGCTTTGACAGATCCGTTTACTGAGCTTATGGACTTGTGATTGTTATGGATTGCTTAGAATACATATTGTTTGATCAGCGTGTACGGCCAAAGATTCCTTGGCCGTGACGGCGGACGACTTGCGTGTTAATGATGTATTTTAACTCGGTAAGAATTGCGATTTAATTACACGATAACGTTTTAATTGTGTCGCAGGGTTCTGGGGACACGGTCGTTTAATGTACAAGAGGAGCGAGACGTTTAAACAGCAAGAGATATTACATTATGCGCCTATTACCGTTGGACTGGCGCCGCCAACGCCGAAACGTTAATTTGCATTTGAGCGATATGCCCGGTATGAGAACGTGTACAGTATAATTAAAGACGCTGATTCCCCAGAGTCCACTGGCAGTCACCGTGAAACGTGAACCCTGGCCAAACCATTCTGACATGGACTTTATTTTTTAGCGTTAACGTCAAAAAAATATATATATGTAAGTATATTTATATACATGTAGTAAAATTTTGTCCGCCCATATTCCCAAAAGCGGTATAACATGCGCCACGCAGACTCTCGTCTCGTGTCCTCGGTTCGTTTGTCGTTTTTGGAAGAAGAAAAAAAAACAGCAGAATATAGGCGACCACATCATTTACCTACATAAGATTGCTTGTTTTATACGAACGTCATGCGGCTATGACATGGTTAAGTGCGAGCGCTACGACGGTCGGAAAACAAGCTTAAATAATAACGGCCATTACTGGCAAAAGGTTAAAAGTCCATTCGACCGGCACAGTAAAACGCACCTGTCAACAAAACAATACATATTGCACGAGACGTATAAAAATCCATGTCGCCGTTTCATATATATATATATTCTTTGTGGGGGTTAAAGGTAAAATATTATGAATAATGATATAATATGTTTCAAAAATTGAATTGATTTCTATAGATTTACTGGCAATAATGATTGAATATGTTTTGATTCTTGTCGTTACTAAAAACTACTTTAAAGACCAGAGATTTGAGAATAACATGTCACATAAGCTGACACGAAAATTATAAATATTGTAAAATTTAAAAAAAATAGTTGTTCATAAGTGATTTGTTTAACCAGTCAACATTTTTAGTATATTATTCTCAATTTAAAAAAATAATCAAATATATACGTTGCCTTTTAAGTTTCAAAAGTGGCTATCAAAAAAACTAAGTTGGAAGGGAGGTAAATTCAAAAAAATAGTTGTGAAAAATTGAGATCACATTGTATGGAAAAAAAATGTATTTCTTATAAAGCCCTATATGAGATATTGAGTGGTTGACGATAAAATTACCACCCTGTATATATATTTAATATACATTCATTTATTTTACACAATATGATATTGAGAGAAAAGTACCTAGGATTCGCTTAAAAAAAAAAGTCGCTTTAAAAAAACTAAGTTAAGAGGGGGCAAAAGCGAATAAAATTGTAAAAAATTGAGAGCACATTGTATAAAAACAATATGAAAAAAATAATTAAATATCTTATTATATCTTATGAGATATTGACTGGATTACCTTGTATATGTACTATATATATTATATTACGGTAATATTTTATTCGAGAAATTGCATTATCCGCCGCGGCCAATACGCGTTATATGGGTGCGTAATCGATTATCGTTACAATAATTAGTTTTAATAATAAATGATTGTACTTACGGTGTATATATATATATATATATTTATGTATGTATGTATATGTATACTGTGCTCTTAATAAGCGGCACAAAACGTGAAACTCGCGCGTCGCCAAAGTTATCGGCCGAAAAAAAACGCGGGTGTTGAACTTGAAGCGAAAAATCGTCAAAAATCCAAATCGTGAACAAGTAATAAGTAAGTAGAAAGTAAAGGTGTATAATTATGTTCTCGTGGATCAAACTTCCGGGTCGGGATACGACATGTGGTCGGCGCAACGTTACCGAAGTCAAGCGACGGTGGCTCCGAATTAGTCACTGCTGGTCTAACGGCGACGGCAACTATAAGGTGGTTTTCCATCCCTGTCGGAGCGCTCTCGCCGAGAGATTTTGGCAAAAAAACGCAGCCGACACACGGCCAATTAGAACAGAAGAAAAAAATTCGACGTCGTTTAGCTGTGCAGCACAAGTTCCAGCTGAAAGTCCATTATGACCAATATTGTAATCAACCGTTGTACGGCTGGACAGGGCGCAATGTAAAAACGTGTTTGTGTTTACAAGAAAACGGTATTTTTTTTTTTAAGCTTACAGACAATCTCAATTCTTGAGTTGAAAACCGACACAGTTTAGGTTTTTCATTGAAAATAAATCCCGAGATGTGATCCGGCGAGTTTGGCTACTAAAATATATTGACAATTTATAAAATAAACCATATATTAACATAGTGATCGAGGTGGTCATTTTATCATGTGCCACTCAATATCTCATTGGGTTAATTCAATAACTCATTTTTTTTTTTGTCATAGTGTAATATAATGTGATCTCGGTTTTCCTCGAGTTTTTATGTTTATACCACCGTTCCAAACTAATTGGTATATATCGACTTTTAAATCTTAAACGGTAGCGCATACATTTCATAAACTTTTTAAATTAAGAATTAAGTACTAAAAATGTTGACTGGTCGATTACCGGTTTCGGGTAAAAACAAAAGAAGTAATGTGAAAAATTGAGATTACATTGTATAAAAACAATATAAAAAAAAAATGATTTTTAAACCCTATGAAATATTGAGTAGCTCATGGTAAAAGAATCACCCTGTATACTATATACTATATAGTAATGCCATCATTGCCTTGGACGTCCCCTTGGTCTTTTCCGATCTGTTTGATTTACCATTACCATCTTAATAAGAAAACCATCAGCTCTCCATGCATGATTAGCCCAAGCAAGTCTTGAAGAACTCCTTGAAAACTCCACTATATCTTCTTTTTTATACAGATTCTTTAGTTCCTTATTTGACCTCCTTATCCATTTTTGCTCACTGTCGTCGAATTTATTATAGTCTCCTCCTGTTGTGGCCCATGTGTTGCAGCCTTACGTAACAATTGGTCTTAAATAAACAGTGTACAGTTTCTCTTTGGACATTCTTGATAGTAACCTAGACTTGAACAATGGAACCATAGTAAAGTACGCTTAGTTAGCAGATTTTAGGCGTAGTTTAATTAACTTCTTGATAGGATACAAACGAATAAACATGTTTTACTTAACACCAAAAATATAATACAATAATTTAAAAAAAATGCCATTAAAAACATGCCAAAGTTAAGTAACGCCTATAATAGTGTTTTGTGAACGAACTGTTTATACGTCCATAACGCCTAAACTAGCTAAAACATATTCTTAATAATTTTTTTTTTTTTACAAACTCAAACTCAGTTAAGCTATGACAATATCATACAATTATTCGTTTTAATCAACATTTTTTGTAATAATAAGAAATAATATAAATTTTAGCTACGTAACATTTCAATCCCTGTTTAAAAAAAAATTAAATGTCATATCAACCAAAATACAAAGTTGGATTAGGTTACTTGGATTTTGTTCAGTTACTTTTAACATGGTCTATGTTTTAAATTTAGTTTAATATTCAAAAAAGAAGGGTCATTTAATTTATGAAAAAAATAATAGCTGTATTATCATTCATATGTTTAGAGCTCGGGGTCCAGATAGAGTTAGCGTCATAAATTTATTTTATGTCAGACTTTCACTTCCATAAGATTTTTTTTTTCATCCAACTCAAAACTTTCTTTTGTTTAAGTTTTAAAAAATAATAACGTGACAAAGATGAGCGAAATCAAGTGTCGTAATAGTAACTTTAATAGTTCAAACTCTAAATTAACATTTTTCGAAAAATTGCCTATACTTTACTCCTTAGAAATGGCCGGTGTGGCGTCCTCTTAAGTATCGCTATTTAGTGTCGTTTTCGGGCTGGAGGGACAAGGCTAAAATTTCCACGCTAAAATGTTCTTAAGTACTTAATTAAAGTCAGTTTAAACATTTTATTTTCATTTTTTACCGTATCAATACTAATTTTCAGATTTACTTTAGTGTGTTAAAATTTAAAACAAAGTTTTTTTAGTAAAAAATCTTAAAAAAACATATTTTAATATTGTTATTATAAATAGTGAATACTCTGCAATATCATAAAATAATTTGTTGTTATTGCTGTTATCGTTGTTTTAATTTTTTATTATTATTCTACTAGATGTTAAGTGTCATCCAATTCACATTTGCCTTTTTAAATAATGTCTATATTAATACTAAAATTAATATTGCACTTTTACTATAATTTTGCAATTTACTTCAAACCTATCACAATCCACTCGCCTGTTAACAGGAAACTTCAAGCGGGGTCTAGAGAAATATATGAACTGTAGTACTACCTTAGAAACGTAAGATGCTTTTTTAGAACCACAAAGTACAAATCTACCTTTTTTTTACTGTGTTGTGTAGATGGTCTCTGTATACAAGAATTTGCTTGTCTCGTTTTTACAAAAAAAAAAATCGACTAATTTATAATATAATTGTTCTATAATAACTAACATTACTGTTTTGCTATTAATTATTTTTCTTACTCAAAATTAATTTAACCTCGAATAGTTTTCGCGTCTTATTGTTATTGTTTTTTATCAACTCATATCCGTTTACTTTTGCAAGTGTACGTTCTATGCAACCTAGTCGAACTCCGAAGTTGTAGCCGGCTGTATTTTTCACTTTTTCGTGTAAGTAGTTTTACACTATATTTGTTCGGTTATGACAATATACCTATGTGGCGTAACGACGTATTGCCGGTTCCCCACTCTACTATGTTTTTTTTAGGTCACACATTTAATAGATATGCTCTAGATTGTGATTTTTGGTCAATATCAATATTGTAATAAATTCGTCTATACAACTACGTATAAAAAAAATGAACAAAATCTAAGATGCAAAAATTAAATAGTGTGCAACTTGACGTTTAATATCTCATATATGACAAAATAATAACATGTAATAAATACAATTATTTAAAGTTTATCTTTACATAAAATAAAAATATTGTTGATTAAAAACATAAATGTTGAATTTAGCCACTCTTTTTTTTCTTACTTTTCTCTTCTTTCTTAGCTGTTCTTTTTTTTTTCCCCCCTAAGTCCACTACAAATTTTTCGACGGCCTTTTGCATATCTTTTATAAGATCCTCTTTTTCATCTTTTCGGATTTCGTCCCACCTTGACCAATTGTGATCCAGTGATTCCTTATCAGGGACTACTTCATCTTCACCCATAGCCATGGATTGTATTGCGTTAGTTAATATAAGAGTCGCTTGGTCTATTTCGTCTTGTTGGCCGGTTAATATTAATCTTTGTGCAGCTAAAACCTGAACAAGAATGATTGGTTTCCATACAGGTCGTTCAGCTGTTGACAAATATTAAACAACATTTTTAAAACTATTGTACTACTGTATAACTTATAAGTAAACTGTGTCATCAAATAGAAATCGCTAGATTCAGGGCCCTATTTAAGATAGTAGGGTATCTTTAGTGTTTTTTAATAATATTCATTGAACGCATGCCATAAAATGCGCATCCGAAATTACTCATTAAATAAATATAGGTTTCCTAAAAACCAAAAAAACATAAAGCAGTGGTGTCCACAGAACGGAAATCTGATCACTTGAATAAAAATTAATCAATTTCCTTTTCCTATTTTTGAATAGACAAAAATAAACTGGAATAATGTTTTAGATACTCACAGGGTTCATCCTTTTTGAGATCTGAAAAACAGTTGTCTAAACGTGGAATATAAATATTTTTTTCCAGATTTTTTATAGCTTCCGAATCCTCCTCCTTCCCGGACGGTGCAACATTTGAGGAGGACCCCTTCTTTCGCTTTTCCCCGCTTCTCGGAGCCGCATCTAATGAAATCTGAATGACATACATACATTCATAGTATTAGTGTTATTAATATCATAGAGTTCTTGACGAATATCCTTAAATACCAGTTGTATTAAAGTATAACAGTTTTGCAGCTTCAGTGAAGATAGGTCTAAGAAAATGTATTATGAACTTATAGAGGCTCTGGGAATTACTGATTGAACAGTGTCTGATATATTAAAATACCTAAATGGTTTGCGTGCTAACAAAGACCTCTGTCATTAGTTACAGATACTAATATCATGAAAACGTAGTGAAAAAGTGTATGTTTCTTTAAAAACAAAACAATTACCAATTGTTTTATACATTCGAATAATATTCATATTTGTTATTTTTTATATGAAATCTATCACTTACGATGAAGCCAAAGAAAAAAATTGCAAATAACACGACACAACGATGACGCATGTTTGAGTTCATGGTAAATACCTGTAACAAAAAAAAAACCATTTATATTTATTATTTTTAATCGACAAACATACTTAATAATGGTGGAATGAAATAAAAATCCTGAGCAAATTATCGCAAATTTAACCATTTCCATAGAGTTCTTTTGATAAAATGACAAGGTACCAATATTCATGAAACATTTGAATTTTTTAATTATTGTAACTGACGCTACCTACCTACATTTTCCCAACTTTTTCATTACGTTGAATTTAATCACAGTAAAGATAACAGTGTTACCGACGGGGTGAAAATTACTATTTAATGGGAAGTTATTTTGCTACTGTTGTCAAACCGAATAAATATTGATCTTCAATCCAAATCTTTACAATGTCAGAACAAACGAAGAGATTGATGAAAATTAAAAATTCGAACCCTACCAATTTTTTTTCTACATATTTATGAAATTAAAAACATATTTTTCCATTTGAAAATACGAAGTCTATACTTATATACCTCTTTTACGCATAAGCGAGAAATGAGATTTCTAAGTATTGAAAAATATAGTTAAGTATGTAACTAAAGTATGGGAAAAAAATAATTTTCAAAATATATCATATTTTCCAAGAAAATGAGTGTCTTACATCAGATAAATCACAGTGTGTAAATGCTAACTTCAGAACAAAGGTTCTATAATGACAATACAAAAAAATATAAAAGCTTCATCGACGAAAATAGTTTTAAATATTACTTACTCCGTATTTGTTTGATAAACTTTATTGGACAAGTTATGTGTAAGTGACTCAAAATAACACTAAAGCAGTTTATGCTCGGTTTGACTTTATGTAGTCAGTTTGGCCACTTTCCTACACTCGCCGCATTTTCTTAAATTGCGTGTAATATTTTTTTTTGCAATATTGTGTTTACATAGGATAAACATACTTTATTCCAGATGTATAAGAACTTAACGGAAACCAATCAGGTTCTGTTGTAGGCGGTAAAATGGCTCTTCATTCCCCCCCCCATTCCTTGGCCCGGTTGTTCCAGTGCGGTTTTTATTCAAATCTGACACGCCTATAAATGTTTTGATATCGCACCCATTTTGCCGCGAGCCCAAAATCGAAAAAAATATATCCATTTTGATTAAACTAGAGACTAATGATAAATATCATTTAATTTTAAACCAGTTTTTTACAGTAAAAGGTATCGAGAACAAATTAAAAGTATTAAATATGTAAAATTGGATATGGTATAATTTTAAAAAGACTCGTCAGAAATTCAGCGCGATTTATAAAATGATACAATATGTATAAATTATTTGAATCGTTAGAAAGTGAGTTTTTTGTATTATTTCGCACATCGGCGCACTTGTTTAAATATTTCATCGATTTCAAAAGTAAACTGTCATTTAAAAGTAGGACTTTTTTTTAATTAAAATATTGTTGATCGAATTTTTTTGCCAGTATAGTACCTAACCGTTTGTAAAAAAAATGTGTACACATTTAAAAGACTGTAAACACTATTAAGATACCTACTCATATTAAACTTGCTTTATAATAATGTGTACCTAACGTCAAAAAACACAAGGTTTTCCTAAATTTCATGGCTTACCTGACTTGTTAAAGATTTTCTAAAATTATAAAAAAACGATCTATGCGAATCATTTTTGGTTTTTATTATACAATGATATTTCTAGGTCTATGTAATTTTTTCTTCTTTCTGCAAGATAATTTAGGGAGGGATTTTTGGAATCTCTCATCTAGCTACCTCCATATTAATTTAGATATGCATGCTAACATAATGTTATAACGAAATCAAAAAAGCCAGTACAGTGGGGTCGGGGCATAGTGGGGACGGAGAGGTCACAGGTCTACACATTTTATTATAACTGAAAGTGATAAAATCACTTTTAAATAAACGCTTCGATGCGAATTTGTGGATAGTATGTTCAAACCAGTTATAGCGGTTTAGAAGATATTTAAAATTTAATATTTAGTCTTGTGCAGGGTGGATACGATAAGGGTTGATTTCTGTCTATAAAAATGTTATATAGGCTGGGCTAGAAGGCTTAGTTGAGTCGCTCTAATAGTGAGGGTTGCATAGTTGTGCAGACCGCGGGCGAATTAGGCGACCCACCAGCCCCACATATGTAATTCCCAATACGATTCTCGAACCCTGACACCAAATGTAAAAAACTTTGTAAATTATATTTTATATTATCAAATAAATTGTTCTGAAAACCAAGTAGAGTTTATCATTGAACAAAAGAAGTAAGGTCCAACGGCAACAACCGGAGGACCGCTTCAACTGGCGCCCAACGAAAAGCTCGAACCAAGACCCGATAAGATGACAAGAAAGAAGAATAGCTTGAATAGGTCTGGAGTCGACATGGATATATCTAAGGAAGAAGTGTCCACTCGATTAGATCACTTGGAATTTATAAATACCGAGTTAGAGAAAGAAAATCGTGTTTTAAAAAAGGAAGTGCTCGAATTAAGACAGATGATTAATGATATACACGAAGAACTGAAACAAAATATAAACGATGCGGACACAAGCATAATATTAGAAAAAGCAAAGCGAGAATCAGAGATCAAACTTTTAAAAGATGAAATAGAGTCATTAAAAACAAAAACAGTGGAAGGAACCACTCCAAAATCCGGAGGACTGCTTCAAGGTAATGAAAATATTATGAGTGGAACATGGTGTCGTCCGCGAATATTGCTGTCTTGGAGTGTGCGGTTAGCGGTAGGTCGTTAATGTATAGTACATACAGTATTGGCGACAGACACGAACCCTGCGGTACACCAGCTTCGATGTGGCGGGATGTAGATATTTGGTCGGCTACACGGATATGGAATGTCCGCCCTGTTATGAATGATTTTATTAGTTTTATAATGTGTATCGGCAATTGTGTGTTTGTCTTTAGTTTGTAGATTAGCCCCTGATGCCATACGCGATCGAACGCTTTTTCTATGTCTAAAAATACTGCTGCGGTTCGCTTCTTATTGTTTCTATTGCTTTGGATGTCTTGAAGCAGTTGGACGAGCTGTGTGGTGGTGGAATGGCCTTCTCTGAACGCGTGTTGTTCTGGTCTCGGCTTGATGTGTTTTTTCAGATAAACGAGTATAATTTTTTCGAAGACTTTAGATATGGAGGTCAGAAGCGATATCGGTCTGTAGTTTTCCGGTTTTGAATGGTTTTTATTTGGTTTTGGGATCATTACTACTATGGCCTTTTTCCACATTGTTGGGAAATAGGCTGTTCGGATGCTTGCCGTGAATATGTAAGATAGCTGAGTTATTATGTTGTCCGGTAAGTTCCTTAAGGCCAAGTTTGATATATTGTCATGTCCAGGTGCTTTGCTAATTGGTAATTTGTTGATAATGGTTTTGATTTGTTTTGGTGAGATATAGTCAGTTATTTCGGTGCAGTCCCGATCCACTTCCGCTATCGTTTGAGTCACCTCCCGTATATCTTCTCCCGGGTTGTTTGTGAATTGGCTTGCCATTGTATCCGCGAATAGTTCTGCTTTCTCATCTGCTTCATATATTTTGACCCCTGTTGTTGTTTGTAGCGGAGTATCTGCAGGTTTTTTGTTCAGGAGGCGGCGGTTTAGTTGATAGAGTGATTTATTTTTGAAATTTAACGTTTCTGTGAAATTGTCCCATGCCTCTTGTCTATGTTCAGTTAGTAGTTTTTTGACATATTTGATTTGCGCGTTACACAGTTTTTTCGTGTTTGGGTCTCTCGTATTTTGCCACACTTTACGGAGTATTCTTTTTGTTTCAATTTCGAGTAATATTTCATCCGGAAGTTTTGGTTTTGATTTTGTTTGTTTAATTGTGAAGGAGGCGTTCTTTATTTCTTTTTGGATGGAATTGGTTAGTTGCTCGATTTTGCTGTCTACTTCGGCCGGTGTTTTAACTCGTTCGATTTTAGTTTTTCGTGCTAATTCCTCCTTAAATTTTGTCCAGTTGGTTTTTATTTTCTTTGTAGTTTTTGGTGGGTAATTTGAGAGTGGATTTCCTTTAATGTTTATTTGTATCGGGTTGTGGTCCGATGAGAGGTCATTGTGATTGGTTATTCTGTACTGGGCTGACTGGAGGTCCAATAGAACTATGTCTAAGACATATCTGGCTGGTGTTTTTTGTTATATGGGTAGTATGTCGGTGAGTCAGGACCAGCTATAGCGTACTTGTTTATCTCAGAGTGTCGTAACAGTTTTCTTCCCGCTGTGTTTGCTAACCGACTATTCCAGCTCGGATGTTTTGAATTTAGATCTCCTGCTATCAGGAAGGGTCCGTCGTGGTTGGTCAGCGTGTCCAGGTCGCTAACGTAGAGTATGGCAGTGGGACTTTTGTATGCGGCCGAAATTTGCGCTGTCTTATTGTTTATTTTAACCTGTATTGTTGTGGAGTCCATTTTAGTTTGTAGTATTACGTGTTGGTGGCTTATGCTTTTTCGGATAAGTATGGCTGTACCTCCAACGTTTGGTGCGTTTGTTACTTTCGGACGGTCGGTTCTGTATGTAAAATAGTTTGGGATTGTCAATTTGCGTTTTGGTCTGATACGGGTTTCTCCAAGTAAAATTAAGTCAATTTTGTTTTCATTGACAAATGCTGTGAGTTAGGTATTTTTTGTTCAATCCCGTTGCAATTCCATGATAGTATTTTTAGTTCATCCATCTTGAGTTGTTGGTATGGCGTTTAATATTTTCATGACTGTTGTTATGATAGCATCTTTAGATGCGGCGTCTTCACATTTTTGGGCTGTTGTCAGCAGGTCTTTTATTATTTTTAATATTACATTTGCTTGGATGACGGGTTCCGTTGGTGGGGTTGGTTTTGTGGCTTCGGCGTAGGTCATGGTTGTTGTGTGGGTCGCCGGTATCTGGAGTGGTTGTTGTACCAGTGGAGCTAGCGGTACCTGAGCTACTGGCGGTGTCTGTATGGCTAGTACTTGCTTGATGTGGGTTTGTTTCCGTAATATTGAACGGTCGGCCACGAGTTTTTGATTGGTTTGGTTTAGGACGGTCTTCGTGGGGGTGGCTTTGTTCGTTTCGGTGTAGTATGGGCAGCCCCGGTAGTTAGCCGTGTGCTGGCCCTTACAGTTACAGCATGTCGGTGGTTCTTCTTTGGTTTTTATACATTCCTTGCTTTGGTGGTCTCCTCCGCACTTAACGCACCTGGGAGGATGGCCACATTGTAAAGAGGAATGTCCGAAGCGTTGGCAGCCGAAGCACTGAGCTGGTCCCGATGTTTTGTAGGATTCTATGCTGACTCTGAGGTGAAAAATGTCGGTGACACTTTCACGTTTGCTGTTCTCTTCAGAGAAACCATATGAATAGGGATTCTTTTGCTGTTTTTGTAGAACGCTCTGACGAAGTTAGTTACGTAACCTGATGCGTTTAATACATCCTTAAGTTCGTCTTCGGTGACGTCTAGTGGAAGTCCTTTTATAACTATTTTGATGTTTTTGTCTTTCGGCAGAGCAAATGTGTGGTATGAAGCCTTGACTTTGTTATCTGACAAGTACAATTGTACTGTTCTGAATGAGTATTCGTCTGGGCAGTTGATTTGTATTTGGGATGGTGTTGAGGTGGTTTTTGCCGTGACCTGATCTAGGCCGGGTATTGCAAACATGTTCTTGGCGAGTGTGCGCCAGGGGCAGCTAGGTAGAGTTTGTACAAAAATTGGTGGAATACGTGAACTAGGTTTGCTTACCGGTTTATTATCAGGGTGAGTTGCATTGGATTTGCCAGATGAAGTCGACATAATTGATTCTCCGGAGGTAGATTCAGAATCTGATACTTCTGGAGTTGTATTGGTATTGTGGTTTGGACTCGGATGTTTTTGTGCGGTGTCACTTAACGGCACGGGTTTTTCCGAGGTTGAGACGGTTTTACGTTTGTCACTTATACCCGACGGCGGAATGTTTCTCTTCGCGGTCGTGTACGGCGAGTCACGTGGTGGAGGTGTTTTACGCTTTCTCCCACTGCGTGGTTTACCCATCGTGGTTAGCGGAACTGAGGTACAGATAACACTGTCCGTCGGCAGGGGCGAGCCCTGGCGAACGCGAGAAGCGTGCGACGGCGGTGGTTTAGTGTACGGATGCGTAGAGTCGGCGTGTGTCGTGGCAATGTCGGGGCGCGGCCCGACGACGACGGGATGTCGGTCTACTGGGTAGTGCTGCGGTAATGTGGATGCGCGGCTCCACGACAGCATAGGGTGCGAAAGATACTGCGGCAATAAGAGAGCGCGGTCCCTCAGCAGTTGGGTAGATGCGGCACTGTGGTAGCGAGACTTAGTCAGAGGACTTGTGATCGGTACGAGAGACGCAAGAAGAATGTGTGTTGTGTCGGTTGTTAAAATCGTCGCCGTATTTATGTGTTTTTTAATTACTGACTCCGCGCTCTGGTTGGTCGGCCAATCAGAGGCCTTTATTTTGTCTACTGTACGGTACGGCGCCACGATATACTTAATTTGTATGTGTTGGTTCTGAAAAGGACCGTTTATACAACTATTGGGCCGTTTCAACCTGTTGACTGTTGATTCACTCACACGTAGCAACCTAGAAACTGACTACGGCCAAAGTGTAAATTTACCCTGTTTTTGGGGTTATTCCTTAATAAAAAAAAATTTGACTACAGATTTTTGAGAACATTTTATATGTTATAGTTCCATTTTAGATCTACCTTCGGTCTAATTTTCAGGTCTAAATCTCAAAAACTTTGTTTGAAAAAGAGAAATAAAGAAAAAATTCAATCCCTTCTAAGGGAGAGGGTTAATGAAATTTTTTTGTTTTGTTAATGTTTTTTGGGTGTTTTTCTCGATTTTGATGGGGAAGGGGTGACTTTTTAAAAATTTTAACCCTGTAAAGTACCTTTCAGGTATGATTTCTGATCTATAAAGTTGCTACACGAAGAAATCGGTTCAGTGATTTACGGGATATCGCCGCGCGATACTTCGACAGTGACTTCGCCGCCATCGGCTGTTGGGCACGCGATCCTGGCTGTTCGCTCCGAGAAGTAGGACCAAAAGATGCACTGCAGGTACAGCGGCACCTCCCACTCTTGTAAGGCCCGCATGATGTGGCGCCAGCCAATCGAATTGAACGCGTTCTTCATGTCCAAGCTGACGGCCACACATACTTTACGCGCGTTGATCGCTGTCCGGACCTCATCCCGGAGCATACGCACAGCATCTTTCGTCGACTTCCACTTCCAGAAGCCGAACTGTCGATCGGAGAGTCCGCCTCTCTCATCCAGATGTTTCTCCAGCCGGCAGACCAGCAGGAGCTCCATCAATTTCCCCACGTCGTTCAAGAGCCATAAAGGACGGAGGGGTCCAGATAGAGTTAGCGTCATAAATTTATTTTATGTCAGACTTTCACTTCCATAAGATTTTTATTTTCATCCAACTTAAAACTTTGTTTTGTTTAAGTTTTAAAAAATAATAACGAGACAAAGGTGAGCGAAATCAGGTTACGTAATAATATTTTAAAAAAAAGTTACAGTCTACTTAAAGCATAACGGCTAAAACGTAAAAACATGGAACATGCCTTAGCTTGCTGGCTCCTGAATATTGATTATTTCTGATCTATAATCTTCTTGTGATTTTAGTTGATGATAATATAGTCTTAATTATATATTCTGGCCAAACGTTTGCATGAAAACGACGACTCGTTATTGTTTCGATGGCATACTTAAAAGGACTTCATACATACACCCGTTATTTTCTTCCAAAAAAAAATAGGATTTTTTTGACTTTTTAAAAAATGATATAGCGTTGGTTGTATTAGATATATCGAAACAATACAGAAGATTGAACATAGATAATTTTGTCATAAATAATATGTATGAATTTATTTCTTTAAATATGTATAAAAACTGAGAAAAATTAATCCGCGCAAAGCAGTTTTGATGGCAAAACAATTGTATTTGATCCTATAGAAATGACTGTGATAGTCTGACAAAAAAATGGCAATTAACAAAGTATCCTCATTACTGTATTAATAAACTTTAATAGTTCTAACTCTAAATTAACATTTTTCGAAAAATTGCCTATACTTTACTCCTTAGAAATGGCCGGTGTTGCGTCCTCTTAAGTATCGCTATTTAGTGTAACTATTTAGTGTCGTTTTCGGGCTGGAGGGCCAAGGCTAAAATTTCCACGCTAAAATGTTCTTAAGTACTTAATTAAAGTCAGTTTAAACATTTTATTTTTATTTTTACCGTATCAATACTAATTTTCAGATTTACTTTAGTGTGTTCAAATTTAAAACAAAGTTTTTTTGGTAAAAAATCTTAATAAACATATTTTAATATTGTCATTATAAATAGTAAATACTCTGCAATATCATAAAATAATTTGTTGTTATTGCTGTTACCGTTGTTTTAATTTTTTATTATTATTCTACTAGATGTTAAGTGTCATCCAATTCACATTTGCCTTTTTAAATAATGTCTATATTAATACTTAACTTAATATTGCACTTTTACTATAATTTTGCAATTTACTTCAAACCTATCACAATCCACTCGCCTGTTAACATGAAACTTCAAGCGGGGTCTGGAGAAATATATGAACTGTAGTCAGAGATGGGCAGAATTATTAATCCCGGATTACTGGATTATTTTTTAATTAATCCAAGTAATCCCGGGTTACGTTTATTAAAAATAATCCGTTGTTCCAATACATCGAAATTATGGATTACAAATAATCGAATACGGATTACAATTATTCCATCATGGATTAGAAGTAATCCAGTAATCCGTAATCCGTTATTCAACGGTAATCCGTTATTCAAAATGGCAATTAATTATTACAAATAATAATTAATTAGTATACTCTGCCTTAGTAGGTACTTTAACAAAGCTCAAGTTTATCTAGCTTAAACACTTTTTTTGTCAATTTGTTAAATTTTTTATATAAATAATTTTGTTATTATTGTTTAATTTTATAATCTGAAATGGTATGATATCATACCATAATCAAGTTAACATTTAATATTTAAAATTTTGAAATCTTTAGACTTATGTATGCAGAAATCGGCTCAGTGGTTTAGTTTTACTCCTAGTAAAAATAAAACACATTATTGTAAAAACAATACCTCCCAGCTCTGCATAAAAGAAAAAAAATATTTAAATACATTTTAATTTAAAAATATATTATTTAAGTACAATGTTTTGGATTACTAGAATGAAAAAAAAACAGTAATCTTTAAATTTGGGTTATTGGAATAAAACAAAAATCCTAAGTTAATAATGTAATCCGTATACTAGGGATTACTGGATTAATAATGTAATCCGTAATCCGTTAACTAAGGATTACTGGATTAAATTTAATTCTTAATCCAAAAATGTAGGATTACTGAAATAAATGTAGTCCAGTTTTTTTATTAATCGTGGATTACGAGTAATCCGTAATCCGTCTGTAATCGATTACGGATTGTATCCATTTTGCCCATCTCTGACTGTAGTACTAAAAGTGCCAATGTTATTGTTTCTATAAACAATAACGTACACCTTAGAAACGTAAGATGCTTTTTTAGAATCACAAAGTACAAGTCTACCTTTTTTTTACTGTGTTGCGTAGATGGGAACTATATACAAGTATTTGCTTGTCTAGTTTTTACGAAAAAAATAATCGACTAATTTATAATATATATATAATTGTTCTATAATAACTAACAGTACTGTTTTAGCGTCTCATTGTTATTGTTTTTCATCTACTCTTATCCGTTTACTTATGCAAGTGTACGTTCTATGCAACCTAGTCTAACTCCAAAGTTGTAGCCGGCTGTATTTTTCACTTTTTCGTGTAAGTGGTTTTTCACTATCTTTGTTCGGTTATGACAATATACCCATGTGGCGTAACGACACTTTTTTTAGGTCACACATTTAATAGATATGCTCTAGATTATGATTTTTGGTATATCAATATAGTAATTCGTCTATAAAACTACGTATGAAAAAAAAATGAACAAAATCTAAAATGCAAAAGTTAAATAGTGTGCAACTTGACGTTTAATATCTCATATATGACAAAATAATAACATGTAATAAATACAATTATTTAAAGTTTATCTTAAATACTGTTGATTAAAAACATAAATTTTGAATTTATCCACTTTTTTTCTTATTTTTCTCTTCTTTCTTATCTTTTCTTTCTGTTTCCTCCTAAGTCCCTTACAAAATTTCCGATGGCATTATTCATGTAAACTATAAGTTTCTCTTTTTCATCTTTTCGGATTTCGTCCCACCTTGACCAATTGTGATCCAGTGATTCCTTATCAGTGTATACTTCATCTTCACCCATAGCCATAGATTGTATTGCCATACTTAATATTAGAGTCGCTTGGTCTATTTCGTCTTGTTGGCCGGTTAATATTAATCTTTGTGCAGCTAAAACCTTAACAAGAATGATTGGTTTCCATACAGGTCGTTCAGCTGTTCACAAATATTAAACAACATTTTTAAAACTGTTGTACTACTGTATAACTTATAAGTAAACTGTGTCATCAAATAGAAATCGCTAGATTCAGGGCCCTATTTAAGATAGTAGGGTATCGTTTTTTAATAATATGCATTGAACGCACGAATGAAATGTGCCATAAAATGCTCATCCGAAATTACTCATATAAATATAGGTTTCCTAAAAACCAAAAAAAAACAGAAAGCAGTGGAGTCCACAGAACGGAAATCTGATCACTTGAATAAAAATTGATCAATTTCCTATTTTCGATTAGACAAAAATAAACCGAAATAATGTTTTAGATACTCACAGGGTTCATTAATTTTGTTATCTGAAAAACAGTTGTATAAACGTGGATATAAAATATTTTTTTCCAAATTCTTTATAGCCTTCGAATCCTCCTCTTTCTCGGACGTTGCAGCATTTGAAGAGGACCCCTCTTTTCGCTTTTCCGCGCTTTTCGGAGCCGGCTTCGGGGACGCATCTAACGAAATCTGAATGACATACATACATTCATAGTATTAGTGTTATTAGTAGTATCATAGAGTTCTTGACAACTATTCTGAAATATCAGTTGTATTAAAGTATAACAGTTTTGCAGCTTCAGCGAAGATAGGTCAAAGAAAATTTGTTATGAACTTATAGAGGCTGTGGGAATTGCCCAGTGACTGATATATTATGACTTAAATGACTGCAGTCATTAGTTACAGCTGATACTAATACTATTAAAACCTAGTGAAAAAATGTATGTTTCTTTAACACAAAACAATTACCAATAGTTTAATACATTCGAATAATATTCATATTTGTTATGTTTTAATGGAATCTATCACTTACAATGAGGCCAAAGAAAAAAATTGCAAATAACACGACACAACGATGACGCATGTTTGAGTTCATGGTAAATACCTGTAACAAAAAAGAAACCATTTATATTTATTATTTTTAATCGACAAACATACTTAATAATGGTGGTATGAAATAAAAATCCTGAGCAAGTATCGCAAATTTAACCATTTCCATAGAGTTTTTTTAATAAAATGACAGGGTACCAATATTTATCAAACATTGATTTTTTAATTCTTGTAATTACCCACCTACATTTTCCCAATTTTTTCGTTACGTTGAATTTAATCACAATAAAGATAACAGTGTTACCGACGGGGTGAAAATTACTATTTAATGGGAAGTTATTTTGCTACTGTTGTCAAACCGAATAAATATTGATCTTCAATCCAAATATTTACAATGTCAGAACAAACGAAGAGATTGATGAAAATTAAAAATTCGAACCCTACCAATTTTTTTCTACATATTTATGAAATTAAAAACATTTTTTTCCATTTGAAAATACGAAGTCTATACTTATATATCTCTTTTACGCATAAACGAGAAATGAGATTTCTAAGTATTGGAAAATATAGTTAAGTATGTAACTAAAGTATGGGAAAAAAATAATTTTCAAAATATATCATATTTTCCAAGAAAATGAGTGTCTTACATCAGATAAATCACAGTGTGTAAATGTTAACTTCAGAACAAAGGTTCTATAATGACAATACAAAAAAATATAAAAGCTTCATCGACGAAAAATAGTTTTAAATATTACTTACTCCGTATTTGTTTGATAAACTTTATTGGACAAGTTATGTGTAAGTGACTCAAAATAACACTAAAGCAGTTTATGTTCGGTTTGACTTTATGTAGTCAGTTTGGCCACTTTCCTACACTCGCCGCATTTTCTTAAATTGCGTGTAATATTTTTTTTTGCAATATTGTGTTTACATAGGATAAACATACTTTATTCCAGATGTATAAGAACTTAACGGAAACCAATCAGGTTCTGTTGTAGGCGGTAAAATGGCTCTTCATTTCCCCCCCCCCTTCCTTGGTCCGGTTGTTCCAATGCGGTTTTTATTCAAATCTGACACGCCTATAAATGTTTTGATATCGCACCCATTTTGCCGCGAGCCCAAAATCGAAAAAAATATATCAATTTTGATTAAACTAGAGACTAATGATAAATAACATTTAATTTTAAACCAGTTTTTTACAGTAAAAGGTATCGAGAACAAATTAAAAGTATTAAATATGTAAAATTGGATATGGTATAATTTTAAAAAGACTCGTCAGAAATTCAGCGCGATTTATAAAATGATACAATATGTATAAATTATTTGAATCGTTAGAAAGTGAGTTTTTTGTATTATTTCGCATTGTATTGGATAAATTCAACATTTATGTTTTTAATCAACAATATTTTTATTTTATATAAAGATAAACTTTAAATAACTGTAGTTATGTTTTAAGTTGTAATACAAAAACAGAAAAATAATGTGCGCGTGTATTGTTTGAATAATCACATATTTTTATAATAACCAAAAAATATGAAGGTTACCTATGTACGAATTTGTCGGTTTGAAAAAAAAAAAGCAACAGATAATTTTTTACCAGTATATATTTTATAAAAGCGATACCAAATTATCTGCTTCAATATACTTTATAGAAATGCTTCTTGATAGGATTTTAACGAATAAACATGTTTTTACTGAACACCACAAACATATTGAAAAACCGTGTAAAAAAAAAAAATCGAAATGTAAAATATTTTGGTGGCTTAGTTTTGACTGCATTTGGTTTTATCAAATAAAATAAAACTCAATTAAAAATATGCTAAAGTTAAGTTACGCCTGTATAAAGTATTGTTGTTCCTGGAACGAACTGTTTGTACGATTTGGAATCATATACTTTGCTTTATACATTAAAAAAAATGTTGCCCAATCAACCGCAGATTTTGAGTACGTAGTGATCTGAATTATGAGCATAAAAAGCATCGAGGGCAAAATTAAAATGGTTAAAAAGATTTGGTTCATTCGTTTTATAATAAAAAAAAATAAGACATTATTAGTGAAATGTTTGTGTTACATAAGATTATAGCTGTTTAGAACTCAAATAATAACAATTGAATAACATGCCAATTGGCAACAATAATGACAAAATATATTTGTTAAAAAACCATCATATACCTAAGAATCGAAAAATTGTGTTAAAATGTTTGTAAAAAAATTTTGAATTTATTGAAATAGACATTTTCACCTTCTTTTTGGTTTAAGCTATAGCTGTAGTGGGAACTAAAAGTAATGTAATGTGTAACCAAATATGAGTAAAGTAAGAATAATAAGTAATAATTTTTAAAAGGTTAGGAGTTAATGCAGTTTGAACAAAATCTACGGAAACAAATGTTATAATATATATTATAGAGACACAAAAAATTCAATATTTGAAATATACTGTTCTAGTAACTCTTAAAATAAAAAACTGAAAAAAAATTCAATGTATTATACAATCAATAACAATGGTTAAGAGAGAAAAATATTTTAACTAACCTAACCAAAATGTATGAAAATAATAGACATAAAAGTATTTGTGAACAATAGTCAATTAAAGCACCTACGTCAAATAGTGAACAGTGTGTCTAGAAATGCGAGAAATATTGTAAAAACTCAATTTACACATTAGACTTCTTATATAAAAATGAACTAAAAATATACATTTAAAGAGTCATTTACATTTATGCTTGATTGACAGCTGTTTGTGACGGCCTTTTTTCTAAGTATTCAGCCAGTTCGACGTAAATTCATAACATATAACCACATTTTTAAAATGTATTATCTTATGAGTCACCTTGAAATATTTAAGAAATTAATTCAAAATAATGTTTAAATAATGCAAAAATTGTGCATATCTTATAATATATACATATATAAGCATCGAATCGTTTATTTGATAACGATTGTATCATTTTCGGTTAAAAAAAAATCCTATAGACCCGTGATCTCCCCCGTCCCACTATGCCCCAAACTCACAGTACTGGCGTTTTTTAAGCCTTAAAGTTTAACTACATTAACACCTGAATATACATAGACAAGAGTATGCTTCTATTGTAAATATTCGAAGGTTACATTATATGTCAATAACCACAAAACAGATAATATCGACGAATATTTGTAAAAAAAAAAAATATTAAATTTTAACAAAACAAAGTATGCGAGTTACCGACAATGGCTAAATTTTTTAACATGATAATATGGGATTCCAATATTTTCTTTAAAACAGCATTGAACTGAAGAGGATAAGATAACTACAAAAATAATTATAACTGAATATGAAATTGATAAAGTCATTTTAAAAAATATGCTTTAATCTCCAGAAGTACAAATAACAACAAAATCATTGTAATGACAATTATGTGCTTAAAATAGTATTAAGGCGGATACGATTATAGTTGGTTATCAATTAATAATCATTTGTTGCCGCTGTTTCTCATAAATTGTAATTAACAACATAATGAAACTATTTTGCAAACACCTATTGACTGTTGATTCAATCTCGCAGAGCAACCTAGAAATTAATTAATATGATTAAAATTTGATTTCCCATTTAATTTGGGTTTTATTGAATATATCAAAATGTTGACAACAGCTTTTTGTGACCCGTAACCCTATTGGTTTTTATCACTTGAATTACAAATGTTGCACTATTATTACCTATTCTAACCACTTAAGATGCAGGCAGAGGTGTGATAATTAAATACTGTGCTGTGACTATATTAAAATCTGTAGGTAAAATCAGCAAATACTTTGTTTATGATAGCTATACTAAGCATAAGAATAAAACAAATTTTATAGGTTGTTTTGTATCTATATTATAGTTACAACGGGTACATTGAAACACCAACCTATACTTTATTAAGAAAAAGAAAATGCCGTGTGATCATAAGTTTTAATCTGAAAAAAAACCATTGTGGTGCAATGCGTCAAACCTGCTGTGAGAGGTAAACTCAGTAAAATGTGATTTCTTTACCTACTCCTACGCGACTCAAAGCATGTGCTGTGATATTTAATAGCTAAATAACCTAGAAAAAACTAAAGATAGCTCGGTATTATTATAACTCCTCATTAACTTTGATTGTTGTTTACATTTGAAGCAGTTTTAATCATTAGATACATTCAGTCCGTAGTTTTAAATGATAACGTCAAAAATAACTATATATATTTATTTGTCATTGTCGCTAATAAAAATGTATGAAATTAATACATAAGCAGTATCAAAGTTCTTACATAAAATACCAACTACAATGGTGGATACAAATATGTATATATTTATACTTTGTGTTTGTCAATTGTTTAGATTTTTCTTAATAATATGATTCTAAATGTTTGGTATATCGTTAAATTTTAAAGAAATTAATTGGAAAAGATCACAGAACATATGACTTAGATATCCATCTCGTATGATTGTGTTCTTCTAAAACAATATCTGTAAAAATGGCATAATAAATTGAGGCATTCTCTGCAATATATTAGGTGTACTTATCAATAAGTCGTGTACAGTAATCAGTATACACCCTTAGTTTACTAGTAGACAGTTATCTAGTTGATAACCGTGGTTTACAGATCGCCTAAGATCGTCAAGTATTACCATACAGTTATATTTTTAACATCGATATGTTTTATTGCTGGGGATCATTTCAAACATTTTCTACCCGTTTGATATATGTCTTTAAGGATTTTGGACGTTGAATCCGAATGTGTTATCAGATATTCTGTTGAAAACATTTATATATGTAACCTTGCAAGTAAGATGCCGCAAAGACACTGTACTGGCGTTTTTTTAAGTTTAAGAGTTTAACTATAACACACCTGAATATACGTAGACAAAACTATGTGTGTTTTGTAAATATTCGAAGGTTACATTAAAATACGTCAATAACCACAAAACAGGTAATATTTACAAGAAAAATTTTAAATTTTAGAAAAACAATGTATACAAAAGCTACAGACAATGACTACAAATATTAAAATGAACACAATACGACCATTTTTTTAACCAAGAGAAAAAATCGAACTAACTTGATATGGAATTACATTTTTTTATTTTTGAAAACCTATGTTTGCAAATACTCTTTTTTGTATTCAATTTATTTAAAATTGAAACAACATTAAACTGATAAAACTTTAATTAATAAACTCGAAAATTGCATATTTTTAAAAATATATTTCCGAAATCTATTAAAATACAGAATAGAAGAAATATTGTATTTGTATTTATAAAAAAAAAACAGTAAAATAAGATTGGATCAAGCCTATTGGAACGGGGGATCTAATTAAAAAACGTTTAAAAAACAAAGTTTTTGGTTGTCGGTTATTTTTACAAGTATTTTTTATAATCTTGGAACTAAATCAATTATGTATTTACTTAACATTTATTAAATAATGCTGATTAATTAAATTATTATAACTAAAAATTAATTGGTGCAGATTAACGGTATAGTTTAATCGCCATAATTGTTATATGTTTTATGGACATGATTACACTATAAATATGTATCTTTAATAGTAAAAATGATATAAATAAAAAATAAAATAGTTAATAAGTTTCAATAATAACTTAAGGCTAATAAAGAACAGCAAGTAAACAAATTTAACGGTCGTTTCATGCGAACAGCCTAAAATGTTTTTCATTGTTAAACTGCTAGAACCTAAATAATTACTAATGTAAACTTTAGAAATGTTACTGAATATAAATTTAGATATTTTGTTGAAATGACATTGAATTCTCGCAATCGTTTGACATATTTCGAAAACTTGTATTATGATGAGATAAAAAGCGAAATCAAATGGTGGTTAATAAATTATTTTGATTCTGTGTACTGCA